ATACAAGTTACTTAATCCCATTTCCCCAATTCACATCTGCCCAGACAGAATGGAATTGTATTGTCTTTCTGAAATGTGAAAAATATGTGATAAAAAGAAACGTTGAACATGCATCAGGCCTATGTCATCTTAGGATCTGAGACAATATTGACAGTCATTGCTAGTGTTTGGGTCGAATTCCAATTTTCCTCATTGAAATGCAATGAGGAAACGAGATGAGGACAATTGAAACGAGATGAGGACAATTGTGTCATTTCAGTTTTCTTCATGAATTGGCTGAATTCAAATGGAATTGACCTCAACCCTGGTAATCAGTGTAACGAATCATGTAAAGACTTGGAGGGCTTGCAGCACTTGAGGTATCAGAATGTACTGATTTTAGGGGGGTAGCCCCGGTCGAGAGACTGTCATCCCAACACATTTACATTTGACATTTTAGTCATTTAGCAGACGCTCTTATCCAGAGCAACTTACAGTTAGTGCATTCATATTAAGATAGCTAGATGGGACAACCATATATCACAGGCATAGAAAGTACATTTTTCAGTAGAGTCAGAACCATTACACCAAGAGATCACAACCTCTTGCCGAGGTCCTAGGTGTTGGCTAATGGTCGCTACACTACCCCCTTCCTGATTACAAGAAACACAGGTGTGAGTACCCCTGTCTATCGCTAGAGGGGGGTGTCAGCACAGGGATCTCGACACAAATCAGGCTGCAAGTCAGTCAACACCACTGTCTACTGTCAATACACATCTGAATGCATGTAAAACGGTTGTTTTACAAATGATATGAGATTAAATGTACAGAGAACAAATAACTAAAAGTTTTAATTGAAAAGAAATGTTTTTGAATGTCATTGTAGGAGAACATTTATTTTGAGACATTGAACCAATGTAACTTTTTTTTTTACAAGATGTTGTACATTTTCCTTGGTAAATCATTACGAACAAACCACTAAAGATTTATCCTCAAATCTCTCGCCATTCCGTTTTTTTCACCTAGTCAAACAACAAGTTAATATGTTCATCATCAAGTAACTAAAAAGCTACAGTCACCACATCCTGTTTTAGGTCTCATCCATATGTTCGGGCTTTCTGACTAATTTGTTTAAGAGCAACAAGTAATATTGCAACAGATTCTAGTTCAAGCACATTTTGCGCTCTCGTTAGATGTTGCCCTTGGCCACAGATCTAGGATCAGATTGCTCTACCCAATCCTAACCTCTGCTGGGATAACAGAATATTGGACCATGTTTTACAGGTTATGAGGAGCAATGTGGAAAGATTTTTACATCCAGCTTGTCACAGGAGCTGGACATAAAAAATACCCATTATAGAGAATGTTATTTATTTAACTAGGCAAGTCAGTTAAGAACAAATTCTTATTTACAATGACGGCCTACACCGGCCAAACCCGGACCAATTGTGCGCCGCCCTATGGGACTCCCGATCACTGTCGGTTGTGATACAGTTACATTTACGTCATTTAGCAGATGCTCTTATCCAGAGCGACTTACAGTTTGTGAGTGCATACATTATTATAATTTTTTTTTATACTGGCCCCCCGTGGGAATCAAACCCACAACCCTGGCGTTGCAAGCGCCATGCTCTACCAACTGAGCTACAAGGGGCCTGGAATCAAACCAGGTGGTCTGTAGTGATGCATCAAGCACTGAGATGCAGTGCCTTAGACCGCAGCGCCACATGCTGCTCCCAGTGAGTGACCTGGGCCTTGTTCGAATACTATAAAAATGCTTCCCCCCTTTTTTAAGTAATCACTAATTTGACACCATTGGATAGGGGAAAGTAAGGGTTCCACCAAACAGCTTCCACCAATCCACATTATGTCGGAGTAGTGATTTACTTTAAGAAAAGTAGGAAGGAAGGACACATTTTTAAAGTACAGGGCCATTGTCTTTTCTCCACAGGCTTTTACAGACAGCAACAACAGTAAGACATTCAAGCAGGAATTCCTATCAGCCACTAGGTGTCAGTCTAAATATGTGTACATTGGGAGGCCCTCAAAGGGATTTCTAACCCACCCTCACTGGGAATCCTATGACTCATTGTTCAGATTCGGAGCTAGCCTACCCCTATCCCTACAGCTACCCTTTTCCATTTATGTGTCAGATATTTAGAGAACACAGGGGTTGTCTTCTGATTTCCCACACTACCTGTTTGCTCTCCCTAATGGATTTAAACGCATTGGATTGGTGTATACATGGGCTAGAAGGAGTTTCCACCATATTTCTTACACCAATCCATAATAAATCCAAGAGGGGGAGTAAATGACTACTTTGGAGAGAAGGGTATAGGAAAATGGAACACAACCTAGGACTTAGGGGCCTGATTGACAGGGGAGTATAGCATATACTCCTGAGTGGCGCAGTGGTCTAAGGCACTGCATCGCAGTGCTAACTGTGCCACTAGAGAACCTGGTTCGAATCCAGGCTCTGTCGCAGCCGGCCGCGACCGGGAGACTCATGGGCGTCGCACAATTGGCCCAGCGTCGTCCAGGGTAGGGGAGGGAATGGCCGGCAGGGATGTAGCTCAGTTGATAGAGCATGGCGTTTGCAACGCCAGGGATGTGGGTTCGATTCCCACGAGGGGCCAGTATAAAAAAAAAAAAAATGTATTCACTAACTGTAAGTCGCTCTGGATAAGAGCGTCTGCTAAATGACTAAAAATGTAAAATATATGTCAATGGCCTATTCCTTTTGGCAAGTCATCAGTCATAGCCACTAGGGAAAACAGTCTCGAAGGAAGAATACCTCCTCTCCTCCTCTCCCCTCCTCCTTATTGTACTGGATCTCTCTCTCTCTCTCTCTCTCTCTCTCTCTCTCTCTCTCTAACATTCACCCTTTACTCATCCCCACTAATGACATCATCAAAATATGATGCAGAAAGCTGGTGTCATCAGCGCCATATACATCTTTATATGGCTCTGAATTACATATCAGTCTGTGACGTATTACTTTGTCAGATAATGTTACCCATCTACCGAATGACGGTTATTTAAAGCAAATTATTGCAAACGGACTTAAAATTGGCACTTAGTCCTTATTCTAGTTTCACAATGAAGATTACAGTTAGTAATTATATTAATAATATCAATGTAAGTACTCATGTTTTGCAGTTATTAGTACTTCAAGATTGTATATGATGTTATCCAGCACACTTTGGGGAGAATTTTATAAATGTGGTTTTGTTATTTCCATACACTTTAGCTTGCCTGTATTGAAATAATTATGCATTTAAAATATGCATATTTTGTATTTATTTATATATAAGGCATTGCTGATGCTTTCAGGCATCATCGATTGCACCTGTAATGTCACATCATTTAAATTAAAAAATATATTTACGTTTGATGTAAAACTGACAACTTGTGATAAAATCAATGAATGTTTAGAATTAAATATTCATGTTGAAATATTTATAAAAATGTATTAGAAAAGTTTGGTATAATATTCCAAGATGACATCAACCGTCAGCCAAGTTTAGCCTTTGATGGCTCTTAAAAGTATTATTTAGAAGGGGAATCAATAGGGTAGCATTATCGGAGAACACAGACACGTTTATTATAATGATGCACAAACAAAAGTAATTGCCATAGTAGAGCAATAGGCACAGTGTATATTAATGTTTTTTATTCAATAGATTTTAGCAGATACAATACTCAATGAATTTGTTCCACAGCGTGTCATAAATTGCTGTGTGATAAAACCAATGGAACTGGGATGGAAAAGTAAGGGGAAGCTCTTTCTGATCAATGTGCAATATTACATTTTAATAGACTTTGGGTTGCCTTCTGATAACATCAACAATTAGATTTTTTCCTGAGGGAACTTACATTTGACATTTTAGTCATTTAGCAGACACTCTTATCCAGAGCGACTTACAGTTAGTGCGTGCATACTGGCCCCCTGTGGAATCGAACCCAGAACCCTTGCGTTGCGAACGCCATGCTCTACCAAGTGAGCTACACTGAACTTCACTTGCCATTGAAATGAAATTGAATTAATTTAAAATTAATTATTTCAATTAATTAAAATGTAGGCCTAGTCCATGGTGCAGATCAAATCTTCCTGTCCAACCACAAGCACCATGTCCAGCCCTTTACCAGAGTTCGATCATAGACTCACAGGTGATATCAAAGTCCACTGTCACATTGCAGAGATCTGTGTCTCTCTGTCTCTGCTTTTTTCTGGCCTCTACAACACTAGCCAATGACTCCCACAGTGTCAATGTCGGTTCCATGTCACAAGCTAAGTCAACAGACCCCTTGGCAGCATCCATATATAGAAGGAAACTAGAAGTGCTTTTGAAACCTGCTGCCTCAGGTGACTGCGGTATTGTGTTCAGCTGGTATTTAAATTATAATATTTTTACTTTCATTGCTGCCTGACATTTACGTAGGCTTGTAAAAAGTAGTCATTGTACACTCCATGTGTAGCCTACGCTCTCATTTATCCTTTACAATAAAGAATGAAGTCTCCCACTTGGCCAATCAAGTTGTCATCCATTCTGTGTTTAATATTTCTTTCTTTTTTATTTTGTATAGTGTAGTATAGTTCTTAAGCTATTTAGAATGGTATCATGTTGGGGGTTAAGACAATGGGATGATTCTGTAAGGTGTTCCGGAAAGCACATTTTCAGGAAGTGTCCCACTTTACCAATACTAACACTACATGTGGAAAATGACTATGGAATTGTTCCATATTGGACCACTGAGTGAATCTCTCTCTCTCTCTCTCTCTCTCTCTCTCTCTCTCTCTCTCTCTCTCTCTCTCCTCTCTCTCTCTCTCTCTCTCTCTCTCTCTCTCTCTCTCTCTCTCTCTCTCTCTCTCTCTCTCTCACTCACTTTTCCGTAATGTCGTTGGACCACTTATCTTCCCGGCGAGCCCACTCGGTCGGTTCAGACATGCGCGAGGAGGGGGCATGGAGAAGGGGGGAGGTAAGGGGCGGGTTTTGGTATATAATACTTCTCACTGAGAACTTTAGCCTGTCGCCTGGTCTTTGGGACAGCCTCTCATTCAACATCGCCATAGCCCTCACCAACTGGGAAACTAACTCAACTGCAACCTCTCCAACCAAATAACGCTCAACGTTAGATTACTGCCAACTGACATGGAAACCCAGAAAAGACACGAACACCACTCAGTTTGCCACACCTGCCGGAGAACGGAAAACACAAGAATGAAGGTAATCTATGGATACCCCACACTTCTTGCTCTTCTGCTTGTTTTGTGCTCGTAAAACAAGCCATTTTTCTACATTGAAAAGACATGCGTAATCGAATACGCCGGCTAGGACAACCTCTCCGGGCTTTTACGCAAGCTTGTTTTTTTGTGTGTTTGCGCATTTTGGTGAGAAGGGACAATTTGAGAACACGGTGAAATATAAATAACTTGACGCGGTGAGAATTTTTAAGGTGCAGAAATTGAGATGGGTTGATTCTTGCATTTAGCTACTTTTCAGTCGGCAACAATAGCTTAACTTTTAAGATCCTTACTCCGGGCACTGTTCTGACGAAACATGATCCTCTCCACTCGCGTCTTGTTCGTGCGTCCCTTTGCTGAACTCGGGACAAACAGGAGATACCTCAAAGACCGCTAGGGGGCGAGTCCTGAGGGTCATAGAGCTCAGTCTGACCGTTATCAGAGGGTGAGCTAGGGGAAATATATGCTGAGTATGGGGATTGAGATAGTTGCCAATTGAATAGCCTGTCTTGCAACTTGTTGAGCTCGTTGTGTAAGAGTGCAGCAGAGATATGGTATCTTATCCCTCAGAATAAGCAACTATTCGAGGTGCAATAGGGCGATAACTGATCACTGTGTAAGATACAGCTGAAATGCAAAATTGCACAGAATAAAAAAATGTCGTTGCGCCAGCTGACTTTTAACTGTAAAAAAATCACTTTTGATTTACGAATCATATTGGATACATTTCATGACGCCGTAGATTATTTGTGAGGGTCGTTTATGCAAGATATTGATTAGAAGCCTGTTATCTGACTTTTGGGCTTTGATTCTGAAATGTATCGATATTTAAGCCGGTAACCTACATTTCCGAACAGTGGCTATGGAAGGCACCAACAATTAGCCTACCAGTTTATATTGTATGCAGTGAATGTTTGATTTTAGATGTGTTATGTTCTCTCCTCAGGTCAAGATGATCTCTTCGTCAAGTCGAGTGCTGGTCATTGCGCTGGCACTGACTCTGTACATCGTTGAAGTGGCCTCGGCAGAAACGCTATGTGGAGGAGAACTGGTGGACGCGCTGCAGTTCGTCTGTGAAGATAGAGGATTCTATTTCAGTAGGTTTCACTAATACCCATTGTAACTTTTGTTTAATAATGTTTTCCCTTTTCATTTCTGCTGGCTTTCCAACTAAATGGACTGTCTCCCGCTCTCGTGTTCCTGTGCGCGAGTGCATCTTTGTGTCTGTCACTGTGTGTGGCATGCGCGTGTTCGCTCTCTTTCTTCCTCACACACACACAACCAGCTGTGCTTCGCTGTGATGTGTCTGAAGACGAAAGCCTTTGCGATACTACTGAGTGGACGCATTCTGTCGCTGTAGCCTACCTCAGATTGCATATGAAAGGGCTGCGAGCAGGGAAAGCACACACGACTCAATGCGACACAATGGGCCACTTGTTTACCACGCATTCCGTGGGGGAAAGTAATAGCACCCAAGAGGCATACCAGTCACCTCACCACGAATGTTCCCAGGCTATAGGCAACCACACTGCGTTTGATCTAGATTTGAAGGATTCAATTATTTCGGTTGAGGGAGGATTAATACTGTTCTATTATTAAAAGGCTAGTTATTGCTCTTATAGTAAACTTAATCTAGACTATAGCATATAGTAAAAGCTATGTGATTGTTATTATTAGCTGATCTAAAATGCATTTGAACAATAACTTGTACATGCAGTTATCAGTATGTAGAACTGAGATGGTGCCTCTCCTGTCCTCTCTTCCCCTGTCATTTCCTCTCCCCCTGACACAGACAGCAAAAACAAAAGGTGGACAACTTAACTTTTAAAATATGTGTCATCTCCCACCCACTGGCATTGACAAACAATCTTTGTGCTGCTGCTTGCCAAGAGAGGTCATTATCCAATTTGGGCCAACATAGATGGGCTCCTCCCCCTCCTCCCTCTGGTTCACCCTTTCTTTTTCTCTCGTGTTCCTCTCTTCCTGCAATGAAGTACTGGCTTGGCCTCTCCTGAGGTTTCTCCAACATTGTGTAGGGGGTGAAGAAGGACTTCAAACAAGGCCGTTATTGATGAGCTTGGATAGTACTCCCCTGTGCTACGTCTTACTTAACCCTCCACCTCGCTCTCTCTCTTCTCATACCCTCTCTTTTTGTCTCTCTTTTCTCATACCTTTCTCCCTCACGTCTTCTCTTTCGCCCGTTTCCTTTCTGCCTCCCTTGCATAAGCTACCTCTTTGTTGGGACTCACACTCTCTTTCTCTATAAGTGCATTTCTCTCTCTTTCTTCCACTCTTCTTCTGTTCCTCTCCCTCTATCTCTATCAGCGCCCCTCCTTCCCATCTCATGTCTTTCCCCAGCCTTTTAGATGTACTTTATGTGCACCCCCCCCCCCCCCCCCCCCCTTTATCTCTGCTGAGTTGGCAAGGGATAAGATCAAAGGAGAGTGTCCATGTTGTGCCTTTACTCACCCAAAGAGTGAGGGTTTCAGATATATGTGTCTCTTTGTCTGTATTTGGCTATGTGTGTCTCTAATCTCGGTTTCTCTTTTCTTGTCTGTGTGTCTCTAGTTTCTGTGCTTGGCTGTGCTTGGTTATGTGTCTCTGTGCTTGGCTGTGTTGTGTCTGCATTCTCCAGTGTGTGAGGAGTATTTACTGCTGTATTTACCCTCTAAAGGAATTCTGGATGGCTTAATTAAATACCCTAACAAGATGACTACATCCAAAAACAAACAAACACACCAACAAACAAACAACAACTTTTGTCAGAGTTGGCCTCAGATAGCCTTTTATCCTGTGTTTGGTCAAAGTGAAGTGGGCCAATTGTATTTGTCAATTGGGGGAAAACATTATGGATTTGGCCAAACTGCCAATGCTGCTACCTTGATTCACTTTCATTGTGATTTAATTGCTTTAAGTCGTGTGTCTCTCCTCTCCAAATGATCTCTCTCTCCCTTCCTCTCTCTCACTCTGCAGGTAGGCCAACCAGCAGGTCTAACAGCAGACGCTCCCAGAACCGTGGGATCGTGGAGGAGTGTTGTTTCCGTAGCTGTGACCTCAACCTGTTGGAGCAGTACTGTGCCAAACCTGCCAAGTCAGAGAGGGACGTGTCGGCCACCTCTCTACAGGTCATACCCATGGTGCCCACACTCAAACAGGTACGACCTGTTGGGAAAACCAGGAAACCAGCCCTACCTGTCCTCCTCTGTCCTTGACCTCCTCCTCTGTCCCCACATCTCACCTGTCTCCGTTCCACCACGTGCTGAACCCGTATGCCCCCGTCTGTGGGAGTGGCGATAAAACCGTTTGAGGGTTGTGTTATCTCGCGAAAATGGTCAGTGGTAAGCAAGTATCTCCTTCCGAGACTGCTGACCGAGGTGGAAAACACCAGGTCCTGAGAGTACATTTGGGTAGAGGGGAGAAGGGTCAACTGCAGGTTGGTCACAGCTGGTGAGAAAGTGGGCAGATTAGAAAGTGTTATTGTGACACGTTACACCTGCCTGTTAGGGTCAGATCTATTCAGCCTCCTTCAAAACGACCCAAACAAAGAACATCAAGTTCCTTCTTTCAACATTTACAGTGCGCCTCAATTAGTCATGGAACACTAGATGCTCCAAAACGTGCATACATTTGGCACCCTTCGCCGAAACAGCAATAGCTATCTAGCCCTGAGAAACACCAATGTGAATCAAGTCAAAAGAGTGCGTACAAAAACTTCAAAAGAAGCTGCAGGCTTTTTAACTCTGTCAACAACAACCTCAACTGTGGGCAGCATTCCAAAACTCTTAAATGTCTTCCTCTTCTCATCTCCTGTTCTTTACAACTACCCCTCAGGGCTGGATAGATAGATATCCCTCCGTTTTAACTTTCAACTGCCATTTAATGTCAACATCAGTTGGTTGTGAAAGAATAAGGTGATAGGACTATTTAGGACCGCTAATGACTGTTTAAGACTGCTTAGGTCTATTAAGGACATTTTAGTGACTTTCTTTAGGACTATTTAAGACTCTTTAGGTATGTTAAAGACTAATGGTACATGTCTACTACTGTGAGTGAGAGGGGGATATGTTGGGACACATCCCCAGTCGTGCCTTGCAGCAGACTGGGGACTGCTCTCTCTCGCCCAGCTGTTTCCAGGCTGGGGAGTGAATGAGGGAGATAAACTGCAATTGTTGTGTGTGTGTGTGTGTCTAGAGAGAAGGAGAGATACTTTCACACGGAATACTCTCAAAGTGGTATGACCCAAACAAGCCATTCAGGAGGAGTACTAGTTTCGCCCCCACCCATTCTCTATGTCTCTGTCTCTCTCACATGCATACACACACATGCACAAACAACCCCCCTCCCCCTCTGCATGGGGTTTTCTCAGTCTCACTGTTTTAAGGAATTGGCCAGGGATAGTGTTTTTTCACTGGAATGTGTTTACTGCAGAGATAGGTGTGTGTGTGTGTGTGTGTTGGGGGGAGGGGTCATTTAGTGAACAATGAAAGTCTGGTCTCTTGTATGCATTGAGATAGTCTCCCGCATTCCCTCAGACATTATGATGAGGGGGCGGAGCCTAGCTCTTGTTGACAACTTTCTTTAGGGGTTGTCGGGGAAAATAGCCGTTGTAATCAGAATCAGCAGCGACCTTCAAGTGTATGGTGAGCTCCGAATGTACTGACACATCTTTTAACTTTTAACTTTCTCTCTCTTTTTCCCAACTCCACAGGATGTCCCAAGAAAACATGTGACTGTGAAGTATTCCAAATATGAGATGTGGCAGAAGAAGGCTGCTCAGCGGCTCCGGAGGGGCGTCCCGGCCATCCTCAGGGCCCGGAAGTTCCGGAGGCAGGCGGTGAAGATCAAGGCCCAAGAGCAGGCGATGTTCCACCGGCCTCTGATCACCCTGCCCAGCAAGCTTCCCCCAGTCCTGCCCCCCACGGAAAACTACGTCAGCCACAATTGAGCCTCCCCACCAGCACCGCAAACCCCCCATCGAAAGCCCTTTGCACAGACAACGAGTTTGGAGGGAGATGAAGAAAAAAAAAAGACTAGGGGATTATAGCTTTGTCTCTGACGTCATTTCTGTGGCAAGTCCTCATTTGACCTCTTCCCCCACCCAGCCCACCCCCAAGTCCCGTCCGAGCCCACCAACCAACCTCCCTAACCCCCTCCCCATCTACTACTTTTTGACCCCAAACCTACCCTAGCCCCCCTCGCCAGACACTCAAACATACGTTCACATTCTTCCTGTCCTGACTCTCTCTCTTGCTCTCTATCTCTTTCATTCACCGACACAAAAGACACCAACACAAACAATGAACAAAAAGTTAACTATTAGGCTGAATGCAATTTAGGTGGATCCTTAAATAAAAAAGAGAAAGAAAGGAAGAAAATAAGAAGATGAAAGAGCTCTATGGCAAGCGTCAAGAGGACAGCAAGCGGAATGTTTTTTGTCCTTGTGGAAGACAACAGAAAGTGAAGAAACAGCTTGCATAAAATAACGCTTTCCCGAGGCAGAAAAATGATCTCTGTTAGTCCTTTTTGTTATTAGTTTGCACATCTAACTATAAATGGACTTCCACACTGTAAGGAATTATTTTGTAAAATTAGATTCCTGTTCCAGCACCTTTTAATCACAAACAATAAGCAGAAAAGAAGTCTGCAAAATTGCACATCGCCACGGATTACGTCAAAGTAAAGAAAAGAAAGCACTATTTTTTTATGAACAATGAACGTGTAGCTTAAAAAAATGTCATGGTGCTAGCTTTGGAAATGGACTCAAAGAAGAAGTGGCTGAAATGCACGTTTGTTCCCCCTTTGAATGAATATTAAAACTTTCCGTTTTAAGGAAAGTGTGACTTTAAAAAGGAGAATAAAAAACGGTGCGTGCTAGCACTCTGTGCTAACGGCTCGCCAGAGGAAGTGGTAGGGGGACCTGATACCCACTCCCCGCTCCCTCTCCGATGGCCCCAAGGCCCTAGGAGAACTTGGAGCAGTGTGGGGCCATAACAGTACATTATGGACCGCCTGGATTGGAACAGTAGTTTGACTTCCTGGTCTGGGACAGTACTTCCTGTTTTGTCGTGGCTTTGCAGAACCCTGGCCTGCTCTGGAAGGAAGTGACACGTTAATATGGACACAGAACGAGTGGGATAATGATGATAATATTTTTGGTTTTTGACATATTTCTTTTTTCTTTTCATATCTGTGTTTCAAGGAGAGAGAAAAAAGGTAAACCCTGTCAGTTTCTGGTACCGTGACATTCCTGGTTTTAGCGAAATAGGCATTTTTTGGTAAAAAAAAAAAATCTGTCGTTATTGTTATAATATTATTCTACAGTTTTTAAGAAAGGCACAAATTTCAATTCAAAGGGAAAAAACAGCAATAATGTCAACTAACATTTTATTTTAAATTGTATATCAGTAGTATTCACATGCTTTTGCCTGAAAATAAATACTTGAATATATATGTATATGTATATATATATATGTATGTATATGTATGTATATATATATATATATATATATATGTGTACAGTATGTGTGTGTGTATATATATAAATATATAGATATATAATTAGTTTCCAGGGACATTGTGTTATTTTCTTTTAGTCTGAGCTGTATCTTGCGTAATGAGCCGCCAAGCTTTTTTGTTTGTTTGTTGAAATACAAATAAGGGCACTGTATAAAGGCATTATTTATTTTGTTATAAAAATATATATGAAAAATTGGTCCAAATAATATACATAGCACTGATGCTCAACTGACAGATTTATTTTGTATGATCTCTTTTTTCCCATTTGACTTGTAATTCTTTTTGTAGATGCTTTGTACCAAAAAACTTTTTTTTTCTCATTTTCGTTTGCCACAGAGTTACTTTAAATTAATATTTTAGTAGCAGAATAGCCTGGATTGCTTAGATATGTTATGTCACAGAAATAGGCACATACTCTGACTACACAGGTCGGCATGGACATTTAGAAGCCTGGACGGGTTAAAGGAACATATCCATGACTGACCTGATTAGCAAATACCAGTTCAACAACATTATGCATTGATTGTACACAACCCACTACGTTTTAAACCACTTTAGTATTGCTGGCCAGGGACTGATCAGTCCTTTTTATCCTACATTTACATTTTCTTTGTCTCTGTATTAATGTGCATGATGGCCAATCATGCTATATAAAGAGCATTTGCGTTCATTTGCCAGTGCCATTTATAGTGTGTACGATTGTCATAGTTATATGAGAGACTTCCGTTCTGATTGGCTCTTGGGGATTGGAGAGCACCCTACCCTTCCTCCCAGTGCAGTCTGGGTAACTTGCATGTGCTGGTGGTCAGTCAGTCAGTGTGGTGGGCACCCTGCTCTGGGGGTGATGATGTCACTATGACATCCCCGTAAACGTCACTATGACATTTGACATAAGTCAAACAAAGGTCACCTACAGCAGACTCTGTACATCAATCTCGACTCTCACTCATCCTCTCTCAATCCCTTTCTTATTCAACAACATGCCCTAGATGTTCTATCTATCTGCCTTTTGCCATGGGAACAGGAGTGCAGCATTCCTCCCATACCACCCCATCCCTGATCAATCATCAACATGTATTCGATGAAGGGCTACCATACTGAACCATTTTTGAAGCAGTTGAACTACTCAGGAAAATCTATGGTTTCTAAAGAGGGAGATGTGGAGTTGTTGTTGAGTGGAAGGGATTCATTATTGTAGTGGGACTAGGGCGACAGAGCGCTAAGCCATATCTGGCAACAGTGACACTGCCCTCCAGGTGACAAACCACTGCTCACCCATTCACTATAGGCTCCATGGAAGTCTGTGCCACAACTTTTTTTCATGCTATTTTATATGGCCCATAAAATGGATGGATATTTAACGAATACTCGTCCCAGTAGGGGTAGAGGTGAATCGAGCCAATACTGAATATCCTCTCTCTTCCCCTCCACCTTAAGAGGGCCCTGACCTACCCTATGAACTACGACCTTTATGACCACCATGCCTATATGTCCTGTCTTTGACTCTATATTCCACTTGTGTAACAAAGCAGTGCAATTATTATTATTATATTTCCCGGACGGTTATCTATCTTGTTTCCAGACAGTGACAACGACAAGGTTTATTTTTTATTTTATTTGAAATTTGTTCTTCCTGCTAGGACTGCATTCACTATTGTATTGTTCAAACAGGCTACTATAGTGTTCTTTTGAATGGTGTGGAAGACAACCACTTCTTTGCGCTGGATATGAAGGGATCTCTTGCCAAGCATCGGCTACATTTTTTGTGTCAGTAACCCACTCAGCCTGTGCATATTTTATCGATTTAACCTCTGCACGCTAGAACGTCCGAAATGCACAATTCATGTACTTTCATTTTTAATATCAATAAAAAAAAAACATTTTATCAAACATCTGGAGTCTCTTCAGTTAATTTTTTACAGTGTCTTGATGTGTGCATTGCCTGCATGTGCTTTGTGTGCGTGGGTGCGTGTGTGTGTGTCTCTGCGAGAGGGAGAAGGAGAGCAGAGAGAGTGTGAGAACAAAATAAAGTGTGGAGTCGAGGCATCTGTTTGGATAATCTTTTTTTATCAGTTAAACTATGTTCAATGTAAATTATTCAGTACATCTCCAGGCCTTACAAAGAATACCTCCTCTATGCTGCTGCTCTCTGGCCGTGGCTGCTGTGTGATAGGGGAAAAGTGTGCCAACGTGCAAAGCAACATGCACTCAGAGGACTGTGAAAGACAGGCCGGCAGAATCTCTCTCTTTTTTCTCTCACTCTCTCCTTGTCCCTCCACAGTACATCATGCTCCGGGGTGAAGTTTCCCCTAGGTACAAATCTAGGATCAGCTCCAAGCCTAACCTTAACCATTAGTGGGGGAAATGCAAAACTGACCCACGGGGAAATGTCACCCTATACCACACGCCACACCAATGCTGTGTTCAGCAGAACGCAAAGTTGGTGGAATGTTCAGATAGAAATTATACAGTATTATGTCAAAAAACACCTCTCTTGGGTGCACGCTTTGTTTTTTACCCAAGGACTACACAGCTGATTCAAATAACCAACTCATCACCAAGCTTTGATTATTTAAATCAGCTATGTAGTGCTAGGGCAAAAAACAATTAGGGTACAATATCTTGGTTTGGTCTGAGACTTCCCAGAACAGAAAATGGTGATTGGAAGAGATACTATGGTCACAATGACGTGTATTGACGTTTTAAATGTTTTTAAATGTTGTTCTTTGGTTGCTATCAAAAGCTTTTAACTTAAGAAGTAGAGCGTAATCTTGTTTTCTTTGGCCTTTGTGTTTTAGCATTTAATTCAAAGCTCTGTAGTATAGCGATGGGATGCACATGTGCTGCTGTTGTTGGGAAGTGGGGAAGATTTCTGATGAAGGAATGTGTGTTTGAGCGAGAGAGAGAGAGAGAGAGAGAGAGAGAGAGAGAGAGAGAGAGAGAGAGAGAGAGAGAGAGAGAGAGAGAGAGAGTAGAAGAGAGAGATAGTACGATAGAGAGATGAGCTAGCGGAGTCGCGTATCTCGTCTCTCGCTCCTGCATGTCTCTCGCTACGTCGTTAGCTGCATAGAGCTACATTCTCTATGACTATGAGACTCGAAATTGAGCTCAGGTGCATCCTATTTCCATTGATCATCCTTGAGATGTTTCTACAAATTGATTGGAGTCCACCTGTGGTAAATTCAATTGATTGGACATGATTTGGAAAAGCACACACCTGTCTATATAAGGTCTCACAGTTGACAGTGCATGTCAGAGCAAAAACCAAGCCATGAGGTTGAAGGAATTGTCCATAGAGCTCCGAGACAGGATTGTGTCGAGGCACAGATCTACCAAAACATTTCTGCAGCATTGAAGTTCCCCAAGAACACAGTGGCCTCGAATCATTCTTAAATGGAAGAAGTTTGGAACCACCAAGACTCTTAGAGCTGGCTGCCCGGCCAAACTGAGCAATCGGGGGAGAAGGTGGTCAGGGAGGTGACAAAGAACCCGATGGTCACTCAGATAGAGCTCTAGAGTTATTCTGTGGAGATGGGAGAACCTTCCAGAAGGACAACCATCTCTGCAGCTCTCCACCAATCAGGCCTTTATGGTAGAGTAGCCAGATGGAAGCCACTCCTCA